TCACTACTGGGGGATTTAAACTTTTCACTCATTTCAACAAAATTTTTAATGAGGAATCAGCATTTGAGGAATCACTCCAAAACACGTGACCGATTCTTGCTCTTTCTAAGTCAGGGTTAAGTCCGAGAACCATGAACAGTAGCAGAGGCCTGGAAACTGGCATCTAAGGGCAACATAGGATGTAGGGGCTGACGCCCTCAAACCCTCAGGTGAGGCTGGATTTATAGTATGTCCAGATACCACTGTGTGCCTCCCCTCCCCCAACAACACCCCCCTCCCTCTTCTCTCTCCAAAGAAGAATAAACAGCTTCCTTCACTCCCTGGTCTCTGTCCACCAACAGATGCTCTCAATTACCACAAAATTGCTAAATAAATCTATTTTACTTGTTTTGGTTTGTTTCTCCCAGAAAGCCTTGGCTTCCCTGATCAACACATCAACACACACTCAGCTCCGTTTAGTTTGAATCAAGGATGCGCAACTGTGTCCCTTTCCTGGAGCACAGCCAAGGTTCAGAGGACCCGTTCGTTGTTAGCCACTTCTCTTGGTGGAAAATGGCTGGCTCTGTAACCTTCAGGGGCTTGGGAATGTGCTTTGGGGAGCACACTGATAAAAATGACTCCGAATATTCTATCATGGCCAAAAACCCTGATCGTTTAAATAACCCATTACCCGGGACTTTCCAAAGGAACCGAGTCACTGAAACACGAAAGAATGGGCCTATAGAAAAGATGCTCTTTTTGCTTGCTTTATCTTAAAATTTTCTTTCCCCTATCTGGCCCAGTGCAAAAAAAGGCTTGTAGATACCTTGTTTATGCGGCCATGCCTGGTGGCACTTTCTTATAAATCCTATCACTTGGGCCGCTGAGGCAGGAGGATGTCAAGTTCGAGGTCACTATGAGCTAGTGAGTTTTAGGAGCAGCCTGGAAAGAGAGTGAAGCCACGCTGTAAAGCTGACGGTGCAGCCATATCTCAAAGCTCACAGTGCTGCTGTTTTTAGTTTGACAGTTTCCTCCTGGGCTGCGTGAGATCGTTTTATGAGGATGAGGAAACCGCTTGTGAAGAAGGAAACTGTTATTCTAAATTTCCAGACAAAGAAAGCTCTTGCAAGGCAGTGTTGATGGCTTTTTTTTCTAGGTCACGGGCGGGCCTGCCGGAAAAAAAAAATTATTTTTGATTAACACCCGTTTAGCTCCAGGCTTCTGCCTTGAATTAATGAGTCTAGGCTGGCAGGCAAAGAGGAATTTTAAAACATTGCTTTAATTTTTTTTCATTATCTTTTAGGAATAAAATCTTAGAATCCGGCTTCCTGAGAGACCCAGTTCCTTTTTTTTTTTTTTTTAAAGAAACAAAATGTAATGCGGAGACAATAAATGATAAAAATGTCCCCAAACCTCACGTCTGTGCTTGGTGCCCATCATGAGTCAGCCCCCTTCCATGGGATCGGCTTTTACCCTTTGGAAAGCAGAACCTCAAATGTCCACAAAACAGCACGAGGCGATGGGACCTGGCTTTGCCGAGGAACTCCCGCTGTCCTCGGCCTTAATGTTTGGAATTCTCTGTTTAAAAAAAAAAAAAAGCCCTCTGCTTCCCTTAAAAGATACAGACCCCAGAGTAAGTGCTAGGCGAGCTCTTTTATACAACAAGAATGGGTCCTTTTCCTGAAGAAAGGCCCTTCTGAGAGAGGCTCTGTGATGGGATGGGAGGCGACACCCTCCACCCCGCCTCCCGCCCCCTGCTCCGTGTGAATGCCTGGGGGCTCACAAAGCCACAGCGCGGATTTCAAAGGCCTAGAGGGGTTTCCCTCCCTTGGGGTGTGTGTGGGGGAGAGAGAGGCTCCTCTGTGTGACCACTCATTGGGAGGCTGCACTTGACATTTCCACACAGGGCTCTGGGGAACAAACAGACACACCAATACAAAGCGATTCTGCCTGCGGCCACCTGCTGCTGAGCGACTGCGCTACCCTACCGGCCTCCGGAGTCATCTGATGGACAGATGGGCCTGGGGACCCACAGCCCCGCCGCCGCGGCCGGCCGCCGGGGAGTGATGGAGGTGGTGTTGTTATGGTCACTTGATACTTGAAGCACACGGATAATAGGCATACAGGGCACCCTGGCATTTAGGAAATTGTGTGGAGCAAAATCATCTTCATAATTTTTTTTTTTTTAAAGAAAATGATGGGTTTCACTCTTTTCTGTTAAACTTGCCTGGGTATTTGAAGGTGCTCACAGAATTCTGTTTGTGGGAGCTTGGGAAGGACATTATGTTGACGAGTGCAGTGCAGAATTAAGACAAATGATAATTGAAAGAGATGATAAAAGCTAGTGGTTTCCATGGGGGAAGTAATCATGACCCGCTGTCAGATTGATTCCAATAAGAACATTGCTTTATGTGGAATGTTTTTTAAACAGCTAAACCAAAGCAGTCAGCCAGAGCACTTCTGAGGGCCTTGATCGCTGTCTGTGAGTTTCTATTAGGCCTCCATCTGAGATTCCTCGACTTACATCATCCACCAGCACAGCTGTGTTGAGCTGGAAATGAGAACTATCAGGTTGCAGAAAGATAATCCTACATTTAACCAGGGGATTCACAATTACTGATGTGTGAGGTCACTTTGGTGTGCTGGCCTGGGTCCGCCGCTGCCGCTGGGTTGAACGTGTTTCTTTAATAGTTCTGGAAAGACATTGCTATGTTTGGGGATTTTAGGCAGGGGAAGGCCTTCCCCGCCATCTGTATCTGCATTTTTTTGTGCATTGATCGTGGAATCATTCTCAAAGACCCCGGCTCCTTGTGCCCCTATTGTCCACCATAGAGAATCCATCAGGAACCCTAAAAAGATTCCTTACAGTTGTTTTGTGACACAGCTGTGCCCTATATTAAATTGAAACAAAGAGCCTGGCCCGAGGCACAAATGCTCACGGAATGAATGAGTGAAGGAATGAATGACTCTGGCCAAAGCTTGTTTCCATGTTACCTCCACTCTTCTCCATCAGCTTGGACCCCTTAGTGATGGCGGTGGGGGGTCACTGCAGGGGCCGGTCTCAGTTTCCCTCCCTGTGGATTTGGCTAATAGGAGGCAGGAGATGGGTGGATGGGGCAGATGAGGTGGTATCTGAAATAGGATCCGCTTTGTTCCCTTCTTACAGACCTCTCCATACCATTTCCCCAGGGGGTTCTCTGGTGTCACCAGATTAGGCTGCGTCTCAGCAGTCACTCCCAAATAACCATTCAGAGACTTATTGTTAATTATAAATGCTCAGCCTATAGCTTAGGCTTGTCTCCAGCCAGCTCTTACAACTTAAATTAAACCGTTTCTATTAATCTATGTGCTGCCCTGGGGCTTGTTTACCTCACCTATGAACTTCCCATGTGGCTTCTTCTGAATCTGGCTTGAGACTCCTCAGACTCCACCCTTTGTCCTCTTCTCAGCATTCTCTCTGCCTACCTATCAACCTATCGGTTTTTTAATAACAGCGAGAGCAACACATAGTTACAGTGCACAAGACTGTCCCACAGCTCACTAGTCATAGGTATCATATCATTCCTCCTATGCATCCTTAAATCTTGCCCACACCATTGTAAACAGTCTCCTTCTGAAATCCTCTTCGGTTGTCAGTGTGAAGGTTCCTACTGAAGCCCTGACTGATATTTGCCCAAGTCACCTCGTTGACAAAGTTGGTGGATGTTTGTTTTTCTTGCATTACTGCAAGTGAATGCTCTAGAAGAGACCCGTGAAAATGCTCTGTCCCCTCGATTCAGAAAAGAATGTGACCAGGCAACATTTATCCTTGCCTGGTCCATGATGGTTCTTGATAAATGTTGATTGACTGAATGGTTATCAGCATCTAATAAGAGAAGAAGAAAATCAATTTAATCTGGAGTCCCTTAGGCCACCCATCTAAGGGAAGACAATCACATTTGTGTTAATGTGTCTCATGATCAGCTTGTTCAAATGTATCTCTTGGTTGGGGTGGTGGTAGTGACGACTCTTGCCACAGTCCCTGCCTGGAGAATAGTGTATGTACATGATGGCTTCTTCTCTGGTCCCAGAGCCTTCCTGTGACCCCATCCTCGCCATACATTGAGCTCTGTGCCAACCTCACTACTTTGCAGGAGCTCCTGTGTTATGACCCCCGAGGTCTCCCTGAAGCTAGTCATTTATCCTGGATGGTCCCCTGCCCTCCATCGCTCTCTCGTCCTGTAGGCTGGGCCCTTGTCTCTGTTTGGAATCACTGAGTCTTTGGGAGGTCTCCAAATGGTGACACTCTAGGAGAGGAGCTGTGAGCTCCAGCAGAGACTTCCTGACCAGAGCTTCCTTTTTCACGCAGTGTTCCCATTTACGACTCTCCCAGACCCCTGCTTTCCCTATGAGCCTTTCTGCTGCCCACCCTTGCTGTAAATGAGGCTCAGGTCCACCACCAACCATCTAGTACTGGAAGTACCTCAGACTGTCTGCTGACAGGTGTGGGCTGCCTCCCACTACTACAAAGCCATGCCCCACCGCTCAGCATCCTCATCCCCTGCCCCCCACAAGCTCAGGAGTAGGTGTTATTGCCCGTCTCCCCCAGTGCTAAGGAAGATGACCAAATGCTTGTGTGTTTCTTCCCCATGAAGTCAGCACTTCAGCTTTATGGTGCTGGGAATCCTGGAACTTCCCTTTAGGGAGCAGTCTTAAAGCTCTAACCTTAGAAAACAGTGAGCACTAAAGACCTTTTCCCTCGGAATGTGCAATGGTATCATGCGTATCCAGCCACGGTCAGGGCACTATCAGATGGAGTCAGGTGGAGTTTGTCTATGACCAGACAGTCCCTAGGGGTCCTTGTCACCAGCTTCTTCACTTGGGTACTGGACTTTCTTACAGTGCCCTCCTGTGGCTTCAGTGGCCTTAATGGCAGCAGCTCTGGGCACACATGCTGGGAGCCTTGGCCCAATCTGAGATCCCTCCTGCCCTGCCCAGATCCTCCGTCTTTACACACTGACTGTGTTCTCTGTCCCTCACAGGGTCCCCGGTGGCATATAGAGCTCCAGCCTTGGGCAGGCCCTGCTCAGTCCCTGGATGAAGAAGCCTCGAGGTTCCTGAGCTACATCAGCACCACTCAGGTTGTGTTTCAAGCTGAAATGGGCTGGGGAATAATGTCCTAGGTACTGACCAACCACTGCAAGGAGAGTTGCCCTCGGGGCCAGGAGGGTTACGAGAGGATCTCTGTGGGAACCCACAGGTGTTTCCTAGTGAGATCTGAGCTTGCTTTACCAAGCAGGGCTGCATAAGGGAGTGGATTGACCAGGGGCGTGGTTACCAGGTGATTGGAAGGGTCTGCACTTGGCTGTGCTGGGGGGAGGTCTTTTGCTCCTCCCCTTAGCATTACTATAAACAGCCCTCTAGAAGAGACAGAAGGGGCCGGTGGATAAGAATCCAGGCCCTCCCGAGGCTACCCTGTGTTTCTATCTGTCTCTCTCCCCTCTATATTTCTATCTAAATCTCTTAACCCTTACTCCTCAAGAGTACCCCAGGGGAAAAGGTAGGGGCGGGTCCCCCACAAAGCTCCTGATGGGAGCAGGACAGGGACCCGGGTTCTGAAGTGCTGCTACTCCATCCCCCACCCCTCCGTGGAGGCCGAGAAGATGACTCCCATTTGCTTATCATTTCTTCCTTCCCAGATTCTCATCAGCCTGGAATGTTCTAATGATTCATCCCCAAGTGTTTTAAGGAGTCACTTTAGAGAATCGCGTTGGAAAGCCAGCTGAAGAGACAGATTTGTCCCTGTGAGTAGGCAGTCAAGTGTGTCACAAAACAGAGCCATCATCTGGAGGTACAGCTCCTTTCCTATTGGGGAGCACTCGCCCGTGTGCTTCCCAGCCACGGGCACTTGGCAGCCAGGCTGTGACGGGCCAGGAAGCCAGAGCCTCTGAGGAGCACCGCGAGAAGTTAATGACCCCGGTGCTCACGTCCCTCTCCGTGGAGCGCCCTAAGTCATTACTGAGCATGGCCTTTATTAGTGGCTTAACACACGGTGGCAGCTCCTGCCCAGTTCCAGGGGTGAGGCAGAGTCAGACCCTGAGAAGGCAAGAGACTCTAGGGCTCTTGATACACTAGTCAGAAGGTACATTGTCATGTTGCCTGAGCCTAGGGAAAAGCAAGTGTAAGAGGAGATTGAATCCTGAGGGATGGCTTAGCCCTGGACTGACAGGTGGCAGAAGATAGGACATTTTGAGCCTGGGGACTGAGCACAGACTCACAACAGGACGCTCCCTGGGCAGGAGTGGCCTGGAGAGGGCAGGCCTTGGATGACTATATCCTTAAGTCCCCTGGCCCTTGGCACAGCACTGAGTCTCACTGGCAGCAAAGCCCATTAGAAAGGATGAGAAAGAATATAGCCTCGTTTCCCTTCCCTTACTTTGAGAGAAGCTTTTGCTATGTAGCCCAGGCTAGCCTCAAACTCCTCCTGAGTGCTGAGATCACAGGTGTATGCCATGTGTCTGGCTCATTTTCAGAGCTGTAGGGAGACTAGTTCAACTTCAGTATCTTATTTCTGGCATGATGCAGTCAGTTGTAGGAATTTTAATACTTGCCACCCAAATATGCAAATAAAAGCCTGTAGAGTTAATTGTGGTTGATAGAATGATAAACCAGTCCCCGTGATTTACAGAAAATTATCTTATTTGGCTGCTTCAAATTAATTGGGTGGACTTACCCAGGCTTAATTAAAATACGGAAATTTTAATTTTATCATTTGGCTTTACATGGAGGATAGGAGATCAGATCTCTTAATTGTAACTTAAAAACGCTCTTAATGGCCTGGAGAAAAATGAGAGGTGTTTAATATATAAACTGAATTTGAAAATGATGAGCTCCATCCTCCAAAATTAATTTATTGAGTGCGAGCCTCCAAATTCCATCTTACATGTATTTAGGTTAATGTTCTTTAACTTATATAAGGGGTCTTTACTTACAAGATGCACTGGGGCACTCAGCTGTCATTTCAGACTTCTCTTGTGTTTTCCTCATGAGTAATGATTTGAGAGGGGGGAAGATGTCTAGAAAAAGAAAAAAGAAGCATGTTCTGATGTGATGTGGGCTAACCTTGGAACCTGGACAGTTGATTTTGCTTCTATGATTGTCACTGTTCTGATCCCAAAAGGCTTGAGGTTAGACCAAATGCCTCTAAGATCTCCCCTGTGGCTGGGTGCTGTACAGAAAGTAGGTTAGGGCTTTTATTAACCAAGTATTTCTGAGCACCTATATGGTCAGGGAATTTGGAAGGCATTGGGCTTACAATCCTGGCCTCAAGGAACCCAGAAATGAGTGGCTATATAATCATTAGACAGTTTGAGATGCGCCATAATTGAGACCTGGTGTTTGAAGCTGTAGGAGAAGACTCTTCCCACCACAGTGTGATGTGGGCTTTTTATCTGGATCCAGGATCCTCATTAACATGAGCGTCAAGAGACAAGTGACAGTGTTTCTGCTAAACGTCCTGGGAGTCTTCATAAGACAGTGACGTCCTGAGAAATGGCCAGAGCAGGATGCTTTCACACTTTTTAGATGAAGAAATATGAACCTGTGAAGGAACAGTAGGACAAATGGACCTCTAGACTCAGGCAGCAAATTCTAGCACAAATTCAGAGGATCTGTGGCGGGGACCTCGGCAGCAGGAGTTGGGGTGGGGATAAGGTGGGGGTGGGGTGGGATGGGGTGGGATGGAGTGGGGTCAGTGAACCTGAGAGCTAGTGGATGATGGAGGTGACTTTGAAGTTTGTTTATTCTGTCTTATTGCAATTCCAGTGGCCCGGAGGGATCAAGGCTATTTCCCAGGCCCTGTATGGGAAGGCCACCCTACCCAAAAGAACCTGTATAGCTTGTTACACATAGAAAGAGTCAGGCCAACGGCTCTCTCTGGAGTCACCGTCCCTGAGTGACTGCAGCTTGAGGTAATGATTGTACCAGTTTGGAATATTTTGAAATGATATGTCCTGTGTTCCTTCCAGACTCAGTGGAAGGCTTTTTGTCCTTCAGAAAATGTGACAGATTGCAGACCTCACAATGGTTTTGTAGTCAGGAGACATTTACTCCAGGTGGGAGCCGTCATGGGTGACACTGATTCTTCATCAGGTTCTTTGACTAATCACTGCTCCTGCCCCTCCTCTGTGCAACGAGGAGCTTTGGGGATGCTTTTAAATCATCTCAACAATGGAAAGCCTGCAAAACTTGCAGAATATTAAAGTCACCATTTACCTAAAATTTTTGGTTAGCGGCAGTGAGTCACTAAGTGAATTCCACCCCCAGCCTCTTAGACTGCTTTAAAAAAAATCCCTCAAATCTATGTTCAGACTCATACAGCAAGGCACAGCGTTTGACAAGTTCATGGTTGAGTTTTTCATGTGTCAGGACAAAAGGCGTTTGTTGATCACCCACCCAGGGGCTGGCAAGATCTGGGCTCTGTGATCTCAAATCTTAATAAAATGCCTCAGCCTAATGTAAGTAGGATGTGAAAGGGAGCTAACTGAGGGCGAGCACATGGAAGGGCATTAGACTGTCATGGGTGTAGCGATGACCTTGGTGGCATGATAGGGCCCTGAATTTTTTTATTTTTTGAACACCAGATGATATGATATTTGATCAGAGTATGCAGAATGGCAGGTCCAGTTTAATTAGCAATATTGTTTTTCTTAATATGGGAGGCCCTGATGACAACACAGATTTCTGCAGTCAATAATTGAGTGTGCTGCTAACAGGAAATGGTTAACTCAGAAACACTTGCCTGTGCTAATGGAAGGCTTCAGAGCCAGCTTTTTATGGCAACCCCTCACCATATGCCTCCAGGAAGCAAGCTTCGCAGTAAGGAGTTCATCTAAACTGCAGTGGCTGTTCTAAATTAAAAAAAAAAAAATGTTTCAAGTCTCTTTTTCTATCTTTACTGACCATCTATAATCTGTTATTTATCCAACTATCTACACATCTACTTGTGAAAATACCCAAGTCAGGCTCTGGAGACCTGGAGAGACAAATTAGAACTTCGCAGCATTATATCAATAGTATGTATTATATTTCTCTCTGTCTCTCTCTCTCTCTGTCTCTATCTGTCTGTCTGTCTGTCTGTCTGTCTGTCTCTCTCTCACACACACACACACACACACACACACACACACACACACACATTCACAGGGCAGGGATAGGGGGATAACAAAATACTCAGTTCTGCCTTTGAGCTTTTCAAAATAATGTAACCATATAAATATACATTTAATTTTTCAGGGATTCTTGCCCAAACCCTTCAAATTCTAAGGACTTTTTTTTTTTTTTTTTTTTTTTTTTTTTGCCACATTCTGCTCATGGGTTGGTAGAATTGCTGTTCAAGCTTTTGGGATGCAAAACGAAATGGAAATGAGTTAGGTCCTTTTATGCTAAATAAATAAAAAAATTTTCACAAAACATCCCCCCCCCCCGGAGTCTATTTGCTTTTGTCCAGATCTAATTTACTTTATCTGGCTAAAATTATAAGGGGAATTAGGCAGTCGGAGAGTGTAATTACTTCAGCTGGAGCTTAGCTTGAGGTTGCTGTCCTCACTGATTTTGCTTGCAAGAGAGTTTATTGAAACCTTGGCTATAAATCTTAACCAGAAAGCTTGAAAAAAATCAATATTTAATTAATTTTTAAGAGCAGAATTTTATGGATGACTTCTAGTTATTTAAAAAAAAAAGAATGTCTGAAGGTAAGACGGTTAATAGATGGTTAAAAGTGGATAATTCCTGCACTGTAATTTTTAGCTGAGAGAGGAAGAGAGGTGGGAAAGAGTGTCTCTCTGATAGGAAAATATCTGTGCAAGATGAAGTCTTAGAATAAGGAAGAAAACTGTAATTAGGTCACGTGCGATCGCAATAGAGAAGACCCTAGACCATGGCTATGGCTCCGGAGGAGCAGCCAGACAGTAAGCCTGACTTGTGGTCCTGAGTTCCTTCCTTTGGGAGGCCTCTGGCTAATTGTTGGTGCCAACTTCTCTGTTCTTTATTAGGGGTCAAAGCCAATGCTGTTTTCGGTTGAAAGCTCCAGCCCAGGTCCAGTCTCTTTCCTTCACTTTCTAAGGTACACGTGAGAAGACCATGTTGGGTCATTTTTTCTGGGACTTCATAAAAGTCCAGACCCTCCAGTAAGTGCAAAGGAGAGCCTACCTAAGGGCCCCTGGGGCACTCATTAGACTGCGTGTTCCCTGGGGTCATGATACCTGAGTATCAGGAGTTGAACCCAGAACCTGCTTTTTTCCTTGGAACCAACCTCTAGGTGATTCTGCTGCAGGGGAGCCACACCGTAAGCAGCGCTGTGGAAGAGGCCAGAGTGGAGTTTTTATACCACCAGAGGGGCAATAGGAACATAGCCCATGTGTCATCATGGAAGGTCTTAGGAAGAAGTGTTCACACGTGTCCGGTCTTCAGAGCTAGGCACTGCCCTGAAGCAGAAGGCTCAGGTGGAGGCAGCCCAGGACCCACAGAAGTGCCAGCCTCCCAGGGAGGCACAGAGCAGAGGGCTGAGTGCCCAGCTCTGGCCAATTAGATTGGCAACATCCCTGCCTTTGGGTGGGTGAGGAAGAGCAGGTGGGCAGACAGAGGCAGAATTTCCATTTCTCTCTGGCCAAACAGTAGAAGATGAATTTTACAAGCTAGTGTATGATGTACTATGTTAACACATGTGTTCTGTAGTTGTTCCTTGAGAGAGGATTAGATCCCATTCCCAGTGACTAATTTCCCCTTCGAACAGAGGTTAGACACAGAGAGGTGGGTGGAAAGACCCTGGGTCAAAAGGAAAGAAAAGTGAATGCTTTCTCTTGTTTTTCTTTTTGCTTTTTTGAGACCGGATCTCATGCAGCTTAGGCTGGCCTCAAATTCCTATGCAGCTGAGGGAGCCTTGAACCCTCGATGTTCCTTCTCAGTGCTGGAATTACAAGCATGTCCCACCACTGCCTGGCTGTTTTTACTCTTGTGTATTTATTTTGAGATTTTACTTATTTTTATTTTATGTGTTGCAGTGTTTGCTTGAATATATGTTTGTGTACTGTGTGCGTACAGTAGCCACAAAGATCAGAAGAGAGTATCGGATCCTCTGGGACTGGAGTTACAGTTATGAGCTAGCATGTGGATGCTGGGAATTGAGCCCTGGTCCTCTGAAAGAGCCACCAAGCCTGCACTCTAGTCCTGTTTTTAGTTTTGTGTGTGTGTGTGTGTGTGTGTGTGTGTGTGTGTGTGCATGCACGTGCATGTGCTTGTACACTCTGCATGTTTGCCTGTATGTGTTCATGTGGAGGCCAGAGGTTGACATTAAATGCTTTCTTCCATTGCTTTCCATCTTTTAATTTTATTTATTTATTGAGACAGGGTCTTTCATTGAACTTGGCGCTCGCAATTCAGCTAGGCTGGCCATGGAGCCCCCAGGATGCACATGTCTCTGCTCATGAGTGCTTGAGTGACAGACAACATCGCAGTTATAATGACCCAAGACACTACTTACAGCAGTTGCTTTGCACGCGGAGCTGTCTTGCCAGGCCTAGGATATCTTAAGGAAAAAAAAAATTACTTGCTGTTGTTTTCCCACGAACAAAAGCAGTGAACCCCAGAGTGCCTTTGTATCTGGAAGGATCTTTCGTCCCCCCTGGATGGCTCAGAGAGTTTTGAGGGATGAGGAAGAGGGAGACTTTTGGTCACTCAGTAAGGCCAATGTCTGGGCCTCATAACTGTGTTCTTCTATTTATTCCATTAGCCTTGGCCGAGCACAGTACCAGCCTCTGACTCAAGCCATCCTTCCTCAGGAAGTTCATTTGCTTACTGTGTGCCGGAATTAGACTTCTTTCTGCATAACTTCCATCACCCTCCCTTCGGTTTTCCTATCTAATTGTGATGCATGCTTTAGGAAAAATGCTTGGGTTACCTGGGCAGCACTTTCTGCTCCGGGGCTCTCGCCCTTCTCCCCCAGGAGGCAGCTCATTAGAGATTCTCATTAGAATAATTAGCTCATTAGAGATTATCACCAAGAATCCTGTCTTCTCAGCAGACACTTCCCTTGTCCCAGGATCGGCTATCACCCTGGACAGCACAGGTTCCTTTTCTGGCCTCGGTGGCCCCACCTCATAAGGCACCGGTGACCTTGTGAACGCACACCTTGCTCAGCATGGTGCTGCAGTAGCCACACTGCCCAGTTCTCCGTCCAGACATCCTTCTTAATCTGCTCCTCTGTCAACGTCTGCTCAGCCCCTAGACGCACAGCCTCCCGACCCCTCTTCCTTCCCCTCCTGGTTCCCAATCTGCAGTCTGGGCAGATGGCTACTGCGTCCCATTTCCCTTCACACCCTCCCTGGGTCTTCTTATCTGGCAGGCAATTGAAATTCCTCTGAACATTTTACAGCGGTCTTGTGGTTCCCTGGGGAGGAGAGCAGTTAGCAGTGGAGGACATAACTCTCCCCACACTGTTTCCAGGAGCGGGGGAAAGCAGTTAAGTCTCTACCTGCCATTCATCACCTAGCATTTTAAATTATTCATATTGATTTCCAATCCTTACAGATTGCATGCGATCGCATGGGTGCAGACAGCTTGGCTACTGACTCCAGCCCTGCAACGAGGCCCTGGCTGGTGTGTCTCGATGACAGGTTTGGCTTAGCTCATCAAATCCGCAGCAAGCGGTGCCGCCTCTACTCCTTAGGGTAAGACGTTTCTTTATAGCCGAGGAGAACACAGACGTTCATGCAGGCAGCCAAGGCCTTCTCAGTGACGACAGGGGGTGGCGGGGGGCAGTGTGTGCAGGCGATGGGATTTGTCTCCTGCCTGGGATTCAGGCTGGCCTGCTGTGCAGGGCAGGTATTGGTAGAGCAAGGGCTGAGATCATCTTGGTAGGTGGTAGGAGCCACCTTTCCTCCCGTCCTGGTCCTGCTGGTAATAAGGTAGCAGCTTTGTTTTTCAGCTTGAGGAGGATCCCCTTGAAGACACAAGAGGCTTCCAGCGTGAATTAGAGCACCTTTGTTAGAGAGAGAGAAATATCAATGGCTGTATTGGGGAAAACAGTGTGCCTGGAATGCTACATGTAGTCATGAATGACCCAAGAGAGATAACAGCCACTACTGTGTGTGTGTGTGTGTGTGTGTGTGTGTGTGTGTGTGTGTGTGAGAGAGAGAGAGAGAGAGAGAGAGAGAGAGAGAGAGAGAGAGAGAGATCAGTCTATGTGTAGCTTTGTATTTAGGTAAGAGGAAAGTAAAGGAAATTCTTTAAAAGAGCATGCAATTTTTGTCAAAACACTGACTTGGTTATACAGGTTGAAAACGACCTCCATATGCAAACAGATTTTGAGATTCTATTAAATGACGGATATAAATTAACGTGAGACAATTTCACCAAGTCTATTAGCACTTTTTGTAAACAGTCCTGAACTTATGTGTCTTAGGTTTCTATCACTGTGATGGAACACTATGACCAAAAGCAACTTGGGGAAGGAAGGGTTTATTAAAATTACAGTGCCACGGCACAGTTCACCCAGAAAAGTCGGGCGGGAGCTCAAGGCAGGGACGGAAGCAGAGGCCGTGGAGGGGAGCTCTTTACAGTGCTGCAGGGACTTGCTCAGCCTGCTTTCTTATAGAACCCAGGACCACAGCCCAGGGATGGCCCCACCCACAGTGGGCTGGACTCTCCCACGTCAATCATTAATCAAGAAAATGCCCCACAGGCCTGCCTACAGCCCGATCTTATGGAGGCCTTTTCTCAGTTGTGGGTCCCTCCTCTCCGATGACTCTAGCTTGTGCCAAGTTAACAAAATAAAACAAAGCTCACACACACACACACACACACACACACACACACACACACACACACACACAAAACAACAAAACAAACAACCAGGACAACATGATACATGCCTCAAAACAAAGCAGGCGAGAACCGTTTCTATTTGGAACATTCTGCTTAGGGGACTATTTATAGAAGCCATGTAGTGCTCAGGCTAGACCACTGTAGTGTTTTTTAGAGCAGTTCAGAAGACCTTAAACAATATCACACATCCCTGCTCCCCAACTACAGGTTTTACTTACTTCATTCCACGGCCCACATTTAGACATCTGCCGGACTCTGTGGTCGTGGGTAGGGCAGACATCTGGGTGTTGTGGAGACCTCCCCAAAGGAGCTGGTTAGGAGGGGGACTGTTACTGCTATCAAACTGTTACAAGCAGTGTGGGGGCAGGGGTGCAGCTCAGCTGGCAGAGTGTTTGCCTGGCATGCCTGTGGCCCTGGCTTTGATTCTCAGCACTGCAAAACCAAGGCATCTATACTTAGAATCCCACCACTCAGGAGGTAGAGGCAGGAGAATCGGAAGTTCGAAGTCATCCTCTACTATATAAATGAGGTCAAGGCCAACCTGGGAAAACGTGAGGTCCTGGGTCCAAAATCAAGGATTACAAGTCATTGTGGATTTTTAGAAAAACAAGAAAGAATTCAAATAGAAGTGTGAAGTTAATTCATACTTTCACAAATGGATCAAATGAAGAACGGGTGCAGGTGTCTCTGGGTGGGGCTTGGCACGATGGTATTGGGTCTGTAAAGGTCTGCTTGAGAGGGGGACACAGGCTGGGTGTTAAATGGTTCTTAAGTCAGACAGGAACAGTGCCGTCTGTTGGTTAGAACTGAGCTTCTCCTGGAAGCCCCCAGCCACGCTTCAAGGCCGTAAGAAGCAGGGAGCATCCTGACAGCCGATTTTGTTTTATGTCACATTAAAAATTTGTGAAAGTAGGTCAAAAAATAATTGCCGAGTATAGCATGCAAATTGGCAATGTCGTCTCCATCCTGTCTCCTGGTTCCAGACTTTACGTTCTGCTTAACATTTTACATTCCACCATAAATTCATTTAAGAATATAACTGAATAAAATAAAACTTGGGAAGTTATTTAGGAGGTGTTTGGAAATTCTCCACCACCACCCCCCTTATGCTTCCAAGCTGTTAGATAAGACGGTTCTGCAGCAAGATTCCAGATTATTACATAGAGAAAAAAAGATTATTTTCTTTCATTTACATTCAAAATCAGCTTTGCAAAAAGCAAATAAGAACTTCTGAATTATTGTGGAAACAGAAATGAATATATATATTATAAGGGTCAATATTTGATGAAAAACATGAAAGTTTTTATTACCAACTGCAGTCAATGTGAGCACAGTGGCCCACACCTTTAATGGCAGCACTCAGGGGGAAGAGGCAGGCGGATCTTTGTGAACTCAAGGCCAGTCAATCCTGTCCCCCAAAACAAAACAAAACAAACAAACCCCCCAAAAAACCCAAAACAAAACAAAAACCCACAAAGAAACAGGGGAAAGGAAAAGAAAGAGAGAAAACTTGAATCTAAAGAAAGCATTTGTGGTAGAAAAAAATGGCACTTGGATTGTGCGCAGTGGATCAGGATGGTGACTGTGCTGTGGCTTGGGGTCTGGGGTCCAGACGTCCCTCCTGTTCTGGTGAACTTGCTACTTGCCATCTCAAGCAGTGCTGAGAGGAGACACACAAGCAGTGGCTCTGAAATGAGGGACCACCGCAGGGGACATTGGCCCTGTGTCACCAGTGTCGGGGACAGCTCTGTGACAGCGGGGAGTGGCTGGGGAATCTGTGGTCTCGACGGGCAAGTGTGCGTGTGACTCCTGAGAAGGGCACTAGCAGAACTATGCCTCTGCTGGGCCCAGTGATGCCCAGGCAAAGCAAAGATGCAGATGCAACTGGGGGGAGCCTGGCATGAGAATCCAGGAGTCAGAAGACAAGAGCAATAGGCCTGTGTCTCGTCCACCCCATGCTTTCTCCTCCACCCTCATAACTGAAGCAGGCGCTGCCTTGACCGTCTCTCCCAGGGCTTAACGTTTCTCCGCTGGGAGTCAAAATTTCATATTTCACAGTAGATGTAAAAAGACGCTTGTCTGGTACAGTGTGTTCTATCAAAACTCAGATTCAGTTTTTCACTTTTCAAATGGTATAGAGTAGACCAGTGGGCATACAGGAAGGCCCGAGAAAGGGAGGGAAGTGATGAAGGGGAGAAAAAGAAGAGAAACTGAAAAACAGGAAAAGGCCGTGAGGAGAGTATATACCTTACCATGTCAGACAGGCTCTTCCCAGTAAGTCCTCCAGTACAGACAGCGGAGAGGGGATTGTCCAGATGTGGTGTCGGGAGCAGAGGAGGGGTGGAGCAGAGAGAGAAGTCGCTTAGTTTACCCTCATGGCAGCGACTGTGTTTTAGGGGTAGAACTGAGCAGATAGGAAGAGGAGAGACACCAGGCAGAGACACCCCCCTCCCCCCACCCCTCACCCCCCACCTTCCCCCACCCCTCACCCTCCCACCCCCCCTCCCCCGGTCTTCATCTCCTCCCGCTCCGGGCTAAATTATACTATTTGGTTTCAAAACATGATTTCTTGGTGTAAGACAGAAGACTTTCTCAGTCACACATGGTGAGGCAACTTGAGCCAGTATTTCAGACAGAAAACCGGCAATGTGGCTGGGAGCATTTCAAGAAGAATGAATGAGCCTCATAGAGAAATACATTTGTTTCCCAGAGCTTGAATGGAGCCAGTAGGAGCAGTGTTAGCATAGGATATGTGAATGGGGAAGAAGATTGTGGTCCTCCATGCTTCTAGGTATTTTCTCCCTGATAATCCAGCTATGGTCTGGTAATACCATAGACACACTATATAGCTGTTCATGCAACGTATAATATCCATGCTTTATTTGTAAAAAAGTGGAAGTGTGTGTGTGTGTGTGTGTGTGTGTGTGTGTGTGTGTGTGTGTGTGTGTGTGTTCCCTAAAATCCATTTCATTCCTTTGGGATTGATACTGTCCTGAAAATACATGAGTTTGGTTTGTCTTTAAGATAGGGTTTCACTATGTAGCCCTGTCTCTTCTGGAGTGCCCTAGGCAGACCAAGTCAGCCTCAAACTCACAGAGATTCTCCTGCCTCAACCTCTAGAGTACTGAGATTAAAGGCATATACCATCATGCTTGATTTCATGTTTTAAATGAATCTTTGGAATTTCATGCAATGCTACTAACACAGGGATCAATCATTATAAAATATTTTATTATCTATCATCAGCTTTAAGAACCCTCCAACACACACACACACACACACACACACACACACACACACACAGTTAGCAATTTACAGATCTAGCCTGCCACCAGACCAGAGTGCCTTCCTTAATACTGCTGGTGCGCTCACACTCCGGAGGAAAACGCTTCTCACCACTTCCAGACCCCTTCTCCAGTGATGAGGGCTAAAAACTTCTGCTCTGTACTCTGGATTTATCTTTATTGTTTTTAGCTTCTTAACGGTTTTATCGACATATAAATACACCTCTATACTAAGTATAAATAGACTCACATACTTAAATACACCAATCAGAGGTTTCTTTTAATCACTCCACTTAAATTTAAGACATTTCCCTCACCCTTCCCTTCCCCACAGCCCTGGAGCTGATATACATTTCTCCCATTTTCCCTCTACTCTTTAGCTCCCTGATGGTTCAGCCTCTCCCTGCCTACCCCCTGGCCCTAAGCAAGCACTAACTTGACTTTCTGTCTATAAAGGCACCCTTTCTGAACATTTCATGTAAATAGAATCACATGATATATGTAGCAGGAATATATAACATTTTGTGACTGTTGACTCTAACACAGTGTTTTCATAGTTC